TGGTAACTGAAAAGCCAGCCCAACTAGCAACGCTTTTACGATTAAACAGCATTACGCGTGACATTGATATGACGGGTGTTTCAGTTTTCCACACGCTCAAAGTAAAATGAGTGAGGGCAGCTCGCCCTCCAGAGGCACAACAGCTTGGACCAATGTCCACCAAACGTATGGCTGCTCGCAATTCGTGTTTATTGAAAAGAGCGGGGAAAGGGATTTTCAACAGGGGGGCATCTGCCTAAGCGTATTTGGGGAAAGGTTGAAGACCGTGTTCCAAAATCATGCGTGGAATTAACAATGACAATCATCGATCAAATTTTGCTGTGACGATAACATATTTCTAAAACTATATATTACCACACATGGGTTATGACTGCCACATAAATTGTGGGCATTGGACACTCTGTTCTTGTGAATAAATGAACGAATATAAAGCAGACCATCTAAGCACATAATGGTAACTCATGCACTAATCCGATTTTCCAGTGGGCAAGAGAGAACTGCAACTATATATATATATAGGACAACCAACACACATGGCACACCATCCGAGTGGCTTTTCGACCTATTTCCTCATTATGATTTCCACGAGTCTTGCCACCCGAATGATCCTGCTCTGATGTTACCACCATCTATCCCATCCGTGAGTTGAGTGCTTCTTCCCACTCCCACCCCATTTAACACGCGCTCAGGTAAAGTGAAGCCATGATTTCAGTGAAGGCAATTTCTAGGGAATCGTTCAACCTGATCCAATAACGGAATGTGAGATGAAGTCATACATTTCTGAGATACTTTCTTAGGCAAAAAGCAGTTTGAAGAGCAGATTACATTGACCTAAGGTCAGATACTGGGTCAGACCAAGGTCAAAACCATCATATTACATTACCCCAGGGCTTGCTTTAATGGGTAGTTTCTGGTGCTCATTTCATATTTACTGATAACAGAATCCGCATTGTACACCTACCATAGACTTTTTAAAGGTCAGAATAGGTCACCGACCTAGAATGACCGAGGTCAAATATTTATTTTTAGGACCATGCTGTCTAGCGTAATCTTGGTCACTTATCCCGATGCAAAACTCAAAGCAGGCTTGTATGCTTTTGGTCACCATGACCTTTAAAATGTCAAACAAGATCACTGACCTTAGATGAGAATGTGATGTTTTGCTTGGAACAGTTATCTAGGTTCTAGGGATTTTTTGAGACCAACCTGGAATTTGTTCTTGTTTGACCTTATCTGACCCGAAGCTGTGACCTAGGAACCTCAAACTTTGATCTAGATGAGTTCAGGTACAGGTCAACACCCTGTGAATTTGGTGCCTCTAGCTCTCTTAGTTCCTGAGATCTCAGTCGGGTCAAACTGACCCCTACCCAAGCGAAGGGGATCAAACCGGCCACCCAGGCGGGTGTTAAATTTTTTAGAATTATTAGAAGTATTTATATAGAAGTATTTTATTAGAAGTATTTATATAGAAGTATTTTATTAAAAGTACTTATATAGAAGTATTTTATTAGAGGTATTTGTATAGAAGTATTTTATTAGAAATATTTATATAGAAGTATTTTATTAGAAGTATATCCCTTTTCGTTAGAAGTATTCACAAAATTACATGGGAAATTCAATCGATCCTTCATTGCTACTTGCACTGGCATGAAACCCATTCTTTCGTTTTACTCCCATTTGTACTGGCAAAGGTTATGTATGAGACGCGAAGCGCTTCGTACCTGTTTTCAATCTTTTACGATAATACACTAACACTTTTATCAATTTGCGGGGGGACGTAACCGCACACCACCCCAATCACTGCCATCCACCTTTTTATGTCTCTTCTTAGCGGTCTATTTCTCTTCTTATCTGTCCTGCATCGCATCCCCCAAAATTAGAGACAAGCGCCCGCTCCCCCCCACCTATCCTAGGCTCCATTCGATTTGTCGTCATCACGTTGGTCAGCTGGAATGCGTGATGTCATGCGTGCTGACCGAACGTTCGATGTGTGGGCCGACGGGAAAGGTTTTCAGTTTTGCTTTCCCTTCTTCCTTTACCCTTTATTTCAGGACACACTAACTCTGGCTTACCGCTAAGCGACGCACGCTACTTTGCTATGCGTTTACTTATAGCGCATTAATTTAGTGGGGAACGCAGCCATACACCACATCAATCACTGTCACTCGTCTTTTCATGGCTGCTCCTGGCATTTCAATTCCCTCCTTATCTATCTTGCGTCGCATTTCCCCAAAATTAGAGAGGAGTGCCCCCACCCCACCCAACGTACTCGCCAAGGCAAGAGCTGCCAAATCAAACTCCCGCCTCTCTGTCAGAGGTCGCGTTCGATCTGCCGCCAACACATTTGTCAGCACGGCCCAGTATTTGCCTTACGTCGCGTCACGTGACCGCAAAGTTACGTGGCCTGTGAAGTCACGCCCGTCTGATAATGATGCCAGGATTTTTCGTCAGCCCGTCAGCATGGGGAAAAAGGATTACCAGATTAAAAAATCAATTTTAACTGTAGCGGCAGTTTGGTTTGGTAGTTCTTGCGTTAGCGAGTACGCTAAGTGGGGTGGGAGCACTTGTCTCTAATTCTTGGGAAAATGCGACGTAAGATTGACCAGGAGGAAATTGAAGTGCCAAGAGCAGCCGTGAAAAGGTTAAAAAGAGTGATTGGTGTGGTGTGTGGTTGCATTGCCCAATAAATGAATAGCGCTGTAAGTAAACACCTCAAATGAGAGGGCAGAAATTAAAACGAATTGAAGATGCGAATAATCGCTCAACATACGAATGGAGTAGATGGTGGTAATACCGGAACAGGAGCCACACTTAAAGGTAAGCGTAAACACGTAAAAGTGGAAGGGAAAGTAAAATTATAAAACTTTCCTGTCTGCCCACACATCGAACGCTCGGTCAGCACGAATGACGTCACGCATTCCAGCTGACCATTGTGCTGGCGACATATCGAACTTTGCACGTAAGCACGTAACTTTGTAGTCGAGTGACGTGACATAGGTAGAATAAGGGGTCAGAGTGGTTTTTAAATATGGTAGCGCTTTCTCCTCAGGCTAACGAGCTGAAAAAAATGTTAGGATCATCGTCAGCAGGCGCGTGACGTCACATGCCACGTGACTTTGTGGTGACGTGACGTGATGTGAGGTGAAAACTGGGCCGTGATTGGTGCTGACAAACGTGCTGGCGACAGATCAAACGCGGCCGTATAAAATGGTGTATAGAAATAACGGTAGAAGTAAGAAATTCACATGAAGTATGGGGACAAGGAGTGAAAGTTCCTCTTCATAGGGTGTTGCTTTTCACCCAAAGCTGGCAATTCTAGGACACTGGGAACACACCAACTGCCTCAAGTGACATGACGGCAAATCGGTCAATGTTAACGTGACCGAAGCTCGCTCACGCGCAGCCCATGTGGATGAGAGCCATGCCAGCTATCCTTCTTATTTGTACATGACATAGTAAAACCGAACCAGGAAGCACACAGCATGCAAATTATTACGCATTTAATCAAGATGCTAACATATGGGTGGGCCATCTGGGTCCCAAATGGGACCCAGGCACCAACCCGCCTGCATCATATGCTGGCATGTGGCCAGCTTGCCCACCTGCGACCCGTTTGGACCTGAAGCTATGCCGCTCACCCTTGTTTCAAACTAAGTTGTACACGATCAGAATATATCTAGCCATAGAGGGCAAAGCGCAAAAATTAATGCACTAGTGTAAAAGATGTCAGCATATGGACAGCCCATTTGGGTCCGATGTAAAGCCCAAAGACCTGTGGCCCATGTTGATTTGAGCCCAACTTGCCCACATGCATCCCATATGAACCCCAGCCTGTGCTGCTCTCCTTTGTCATGTACTCATTTGTACTTGATAAGGGAACACCCAACATTGAAGCACAAAGTAGCAAGGCTAATGCACCTTTGCCAATATGGTGGCGTATGGGCAGCCCATCTGGGTCCCAGATGGAGCCGAAATGCCAGCCCACCTGCAGCCTACGTGGTCGTGAGCCCAGCTAGCCCATGCTCAGTCCATATGGACTGAGTCCAGCCAGCTGTCCCATGTTGTAAAATAACTGCACACGATATGGTACAACCTCTAAACCATAAAAAAACAATTGATATCCACATAATTTGATATGTCGCAACTTTATTGCGTATGTGACATATGGGCAGCCCATCTAGGCCCAATATGGAGCCCAAAGACTAGCTCACCTGCGACCCATAATGCATGAGCCCAACTTACCCACATACATCCCACATGAGCCCCAGTCCGCGTCGCCCTTCTTTGCTATGTACTCATTTGTGCCTGACAAGAAAAATCCAACGCGGGAGCACAAAGCAACAAGCCTAATGCACCTGCGCCAAATATAGTAGCGTGCGGGCAGCCCATCTGGGTACCAGATGGAGTCCAAATACCAGCTCATATACAAAATACCGCAACCTGCAGGGACTTAAGCCCAGCTAGCCCCCGCTCAGCCCATGTGGACCCCAGTCCATGCAGCAGTCCCACGTTTTAGAATAGCTGTACACCACATTTACCTGGGCTTCGCCACATGGTGGTAAAGCCCACGTAAAAACCCACCGTTAGCCCGTGCCCACATTAACCCAGTTGCCCCACGTTTAGCCAATGTGGGTTCCACCTGGGAATTCTGGCTGGGTAAAAGGTTAAGGAAAAGGAAAGGTAAAGTTGAATAACTTTCACACCAGCCTACACATCGAAAGCTTCGTCAGCGCGCAATACGTCACGCATTCCAGCTGGCAGTCATGCTGACGACAGAACGAACGGGGCCCAAGGTAGATATTGGCCCGTAAAGGGAATTCTCTTCACTTGTGTTGTGAAGTATGGGCTGGGCTAATCTGGGCTGAATGGGGGCTGGGTTCGGCTGCATCGAGTATCGATAATTACTTTTAGAGACATTTTTGGTCACAAATCTCTTTAGAATACTGGTCGTTTTCGTCGCCTCAAGATTCCGTTCGACCATTTCAAATACGCCTGTTGGTGTGAATGCCTCGACATGTCCGTGGCAGGCCGCAGATGACCTGTTAGCGTTTCTTATAATATATGGGTTTCCTGCTTATATAAAGATTATTTTCCGCACGCCAATTTTGTAAATTCATCCGAACATTGGTTGCATAGCGTTTGGTCAGCCAAGTTAAGGTCTGGCGGGTTGTGTAGGGACCAGCGTTACACGGGGTACCAAGCTGTCAATCGGATTTCTCGGTGGGTAGAGGTCTTTATTTTGCAATGTTTTTTCATGCAGTATGTGTGAGCATCACGTTTCTATCTCTGCACTGTATTTGTGTCAAGTGCCACTCGTCAGGCCCGGTAACGTTTCGTGACAAGCATACAACCATGCCAATTCAAAATACCTATTTGTCCAGATGGATTTTGCCATAAATTAAAGCCAACCCATCATTTATTGATTTGTAAATTGGTGCGGCATGGTCAATGAGGTGCTGGGGTTGGTCTTATGTTTTAACTGGGATAGCCAGCCTCTCTGCTGGGAACAGGGGCCAATTTTGCCAACACCTGGTGGCCAATGGGTTCTCCAGCATTCTCTGTGGTGTTCAACTTGCTTATCCTGTGTTAATTCCTCTGCTATGCTCGGGAAAGGTTATGAGGGCAATCATATTTGCCCTACCATATTTTGCATTTCATTATGCAATATTATGTGACAATATTTGATGTAAAATTTGACATTTCATGATCAAATGATGGATGCTTAATGCTCAAAAGCTATCATCCTGCATGGCCAAAGCTTGTGTTTGTTTATGACTGGTTTGCCTGTTTATTACAGCAAACAGTGCAGACTGTCAAGCAAAAACCTGTGGGGTTATGTATGATTTCCACCCATTGTGCACCATTTACCTGTCAAAGATGTAACTTTACCATTTTAACTGAATGAACTTTTTAAGTACTATTATACTACAGCACTTCTGTTTCAGTCAGATTTCAGGGCTGTTAAGCATTGCTGCCAAGCCTGCTGCTGGCCCAGCTGAGTCTGGCCCTTCTGTCATCTCTTCTTTCCTTTGTGCCTTTCATTTTTACTTTTCTGGATGAAAACATGACTCATCAGCTACCTTCACAATAGAGCGCCACCTTGACAGCATCAGTATATTTTGCCTGCCTGTCAGTTTTGTGCAGCGTTTCACATTAATGGGAATGTTCCACATTTGAAGCCATTGAAACAAGCATCAGACGTGATGAATTAAGCTTTCCTTTAATGATCGGTGTACTTAAGGTGGATGTGGCTGGGCCAGACACCACAATTTCTGTATATGCTCCTCAATACATCATTGTTGATGTCATCATACCTTGCACAACATTGATTGACAGCCAGTTGACAGTCACCATATCTGGAAATATTGTCCACAAATGCCAGTCATTAACAACTCAACAATTGTTTCTTGGCCTTGATCACAGTATGCTCAATGGAAAGCAGGATTTGAATGACATGGTGTCATGGATGCCTGGGTAACCCTGAAATGGTCTGCACAAAATCAACCACAAATTTTGGCTGATATGTAGCTCAAAAACTAGAGGTTTAAGTCTTAAAAAGGGCAGGCCTGTGACCTGCACCAAAGGATCTTCAAGATGGATATTTCATTTCAAAACCCCATACAAATGTGGAATGCTTCCTTGGAAACTAACTCACCTCATACCATCGATGAGACCTGGGGGGGGGGGGGGGAATGGAGGCTTTGGCACATGCATGAGACCAGATAACATTGAGCTGTAACCCCTCCTTCCCTGCTAATCCACCAAAAGTGGTGAAAACACAAGACAGCCTATGGTGAAGACAGACAAGCCTCACACTCGCTACTGCTTCCATCCACGGCCTGGAACTCCCATTCATTGGTGGCAGGTGCCTGGCTGGTGTGCGCTGGAATCCAGCGATGGCTGATGAGCTGACTGCTGCCGAGGCTACGGTGGTGACAGAGTCCCAGGTGGCACTGGATGAGTTCTGGGGCAAGATGACTGACCAGATACGCAACATGTCTGTGGTGAGTGAACTCCATACCATATCAGCTCTACCCATATATTTTTTATCTGCTTATATGTATGTATAATACATTACAGCATACAGCAAATGTAATGCCCATTTTTTATGAATGTGCCCAATGAAAGAACCATATCCATGATCTTTATCCATGTGTATAATCATCCCAAAAGTCCCCCTCTCAAAATTTCAAGGTACCTTCTTGAATAACTGCTTAAAGACCCATGTGCTGGAAGTTCATTTTTATGGGCCTGACAGACCAATGTATTGCCAACTTTGAGGTGTTATGATGAATGCTCCTCTTGGACCTTTATGCAATGATTTCTTTATGGGCATGTAGATGCCGACGCACTACAAAATGACGACACAAGACGGGACATTTACTGTTGTCATGAAGACGATATCTTTCTGGCGGTCAGGGACGCTGACCAGCTAGAACGTCTCAAAAATACCTTTGAAGAGCAATCTTTTTTAAAATTTACAAAAGGGCAAGCATACAAAATATAATGCCTTTCTTGATGTGACTGTTGGTGGGCAAGGACAGCGATTTCGAACGACTGTATACTGAAAGCGAAGTAACGACGGGCGATGCTTAAATGCCTAGAGTAAGTGTCCTCGACGCCATAAGATCAGCGTCATGATCATTCCTGAGACATGCATTGAAGCATTGCTCTGATGGGACAGGATTGCATTCGGAACTGGTATGAATCAGACAGATCTCAGTGAACAGCAGTTTTTCAAATTCCTACGCTGAAAACGAACTACAACGGCACATGATGCGACGCTTTGACAGCAAACCAAGACAACATAAACAACCAACCGTCCAAAGTGACACAGCCTACAAACAAGACGTTTGATGTCTACGGGAGATCGTCTCTCGACATGTAAAAGGCGATTTTGACCACATAATAGGCATTGTCATTTATTATCGGTGATCTCGATTATATCGATTATAAGAAAATCTCTAACTTTCTTTTGAGAAACAACCCAGACAAGCCCACCAAACTAAAATGCACCAGTTAAGTGTATCAATTCAAATGCAATATCGAAGGCTGCAAACTTTGTTATATACACTACATTGACGTGACCACAACAACCCCCACGACGCCTGATGCACTTAGGTGACGGGGAACCTGTGGAGCACATGGTACGCGAACATGACGAGATATTAGCAACAACCGACGCACAACATTGACATTTGTCAGGCATGCAATTATAGAAGACGCCTTCAAAGTCGGGAGAGCATATTTATGAACGAAATCTCTCCAGCTGGAAACAGACAAAGTCTTGCACAACCCTTGAGTTAGCCTGTTAGGTGGTGTGTGATAAGCACTATAGATGTGATTGTGGCAATGTGTTCGTGTCTTTGTAGTGTTCCATTATGGGTACATTTTATCTCTGTACTAAATGATGTTTTCCAGGTAGTGATGCACAGTTTCCATCCATAAAAACTGAAAACTTATTTCTTGTGCCGTTCATGTATGTCTGGTGAGATAAAATCTTGAAGGGTAAGAATGTACAGATTGATGAATATAAGAGTGATTTTGCGCAAACAGATCTGGCAATGATTTCCCAGAAAGCTTGTGTTGTACATTGTATATATATATATACACTGTACAACACAAGCTTTCTGCGAAATCATTGTCAGATTTTATAGCAATTTATTTGTTTGAATATAGAGCAATTCACGTAAGTTCTTTAACACAAGTTTTAGTGTGGGCAGTAAATGTACTGCCGTGCTTTTCGTAACGGTATTTCTGCCCGAAAAGGTGCTTAAAATGAGATGGCATTTAAGAAAGCTAATCTGTCTCCATATTTTGAATTTCGTGCAGAACGACTTCAAGCAGCAGGAGCTGCCTCTGGCGCGCATCAAGAAGATCATGAAGCTGGATGAGGACGTGAAGATGATCTCGGCAGAGGCGCCGCTGCTGTTCTCGAAGGCGGCCGAGATGTTCATTCATGAGCTGTCATTGCGTGCATGGATCCACACCGAGGACAACAAGCGGAGGACACTGCAGGTGAGCCGGACCGACAAGCGGAGAACGCCGCAGGTGAGCCGGACAAACAGACTGAGAACACTGCAGGTGAACCGGACAAACAAGTGGAGAACACTGCAGGTGAGCCGAAGAAACCAGCGGAGAACACTGCAGGTTAGCCGGAGCAATAAGCCTGGGTGCTGCGGACTGTAGGGGTGGTGTTCGATATGACGGGTTGACGCTGGGGGGGGGGGGGGGGGGGGGGGGGGTCGGGCGTTTTGTAGACAAAATGCGTGCAAAACTTCAATATTGCTGCGAGTGCGGGCGTAATTCCGTGTGTTGGGAATCGCGGGAGGGCCGTGAGCGGGGGAAGGTGATGGGCTTTAGGGCCGCCTGCGGGGGATGAGGACTGTTGAGCAAGGCCCGCGACACTCGCCTGGTGCCCAGGAGCGCGCACGTGCTGTCAATGCTGTCATCAGCAGTTCGGTTGTGACAGCTGATCTGGCCGATTTGCTGTCCACAGCGCAACGACATCGCCATGGCCATCTCAAAGTTTGACCAGTTCGACTTTCTGATCGACATCGTGCCTCGCGACGAGATCAAGCAGCCGCAACGGCCGGCAGAGAACAAGAGCACCGGCGTGATGCCCGATCAGGTGACCCGACCCCGCCCTCAGACCCCTCCCGACACTCGAGCCGAGCCGGAACGAGGCATCCACCGATGGGGCTGTACCGAAATCCGCTCTGTACCAGTTTCCCGCTGTTCAGTGGAAGTGATTACGCATCACGTGCAGAAAGCATATCGATGAACATGCAGGATGACGTCTGCTGGCTCATGGACGCGTGTTAATGGTCACATTGCGCGAGAAACTGCTTGGTGCCCTTGTGGTGCTATGGCAGCCGGTGGAATGATTGGATAAATGCAGCGATGGTTAGTGTGCAGGGAAGGAGTGTTAAATGGACCATTACAGAATGATCTTGGATGTAGGTGCTCAACCTTCATGCTAATCTTTGACCAGCCATTAGATATGATTGCACGCAAAAACTCAAATTTGTATGTTGCTGTGACATTAGTCATGGAATGCCAGGTTGTCTCCAGTTTGGTGGTGGTAGCATGCCGGGTGCGTGCTACCACCACCACGCGTACCGCGTACTACCAGGACGCGCAGTTCCCGTTGTGGTTATTTATCGCGTGCTGGCGCACCTCGACCGTCGTAACGTTTGCCTCCGGTCTCTGGCAGGTGCAGTACTACTTCCAGCTGGCGCAGCAGCACCAGGCGGCTTTGCAGCAGCAGCAGCAGCCGCAGCCTCAGCCGCAGCCGCAGCCGCAGCCGCAGCCGAGCGCCGTCAGCCAGCAGCCGCAGTCGATTCAGATCATCAGCGGTGGCCAGGTGCAGACCATCCAGGTGGTACCCAACGCCAACAGCGCGGCCGACACACAAGCGGTGAGCCACGGCCTGTGTGACGGCCTAACGGCTACGGGGTAGCCGATGCGACGCAAAGGTCTTACCGGCTGGTGGTTGGTGAAGTTTGCTCTTCAGGCCAGTAGTGTCATGATGTAATGTTAGCTTTAGCTTAATATTTGGTAGCACCACATTGGTATCCTCCAATGTCGGCTGCTATCCTGATTTCTTTTCGGTGATGCTATCTATCAGGTGCTGTCCGTGTGATGTTTTGTGGATCGTGTGAATGAATATGATTGTTATATTTCGGTATATGATGATTATGTGATGTGATGGCGCTGCTAGGATGTCCTGATTTATTCAGTAGGCCAAGTTTTTATGCAGCCTTGTAAATATGCTGGTACTGAGTCACAAAGGCTTTTTGTTGTTTGCTCCCTTGAAATTTGTTTTTGTGCATATTTTGGAGTCAAAAGTACAGAGATCCCAGCATGTCTGTGTTCCTCCAGCCTGTTGATCTCAGCTGGAGGATCTCACAACCGGCGCTGGACATCGGTCAAAATAGTTGTGACTGTTTATAGATGCAGTGACCTCGTGCGCCGTGAGAATGTGATTGATTTAATGACGAAGTGACAGATAGGTCACTCGGCATGAGCGTTGTACCCTGGTGGAACCAATTTTGGCATCACTCAGGGCAGATTGGGCCAGGGCTGTCAGCTAATGAAATGATTGGGAAACTAAGCTCAAATGAACGGCATTCTCACCACACCATATTAAAATTAGAGCTATTTATCTTCTATAGTCTTCACAAATCCACAGTTGTCACGCGCCTCCCGCCGACAGTGGACGGCTCAACACCGGTCTGAATTTGTCCACATTTGCTGGCTCGCGGTTGGCATGCACTGGCTGAGGCCCCCTTTGCTGGGGGCCTCAATTCCGTATTGCCCGGGAGCAATGTCCGAGAGTGAGCCTCCGGCCCGCACTGGGGCGTGAGGCAGCCAGCCGATGGCCAGACTCGTATAGCGTATAGACCAGAGGCGTCACTTAATATTCGGGCGCCGGAGCTTTCCCCAATGCTGACTTGAGCTCCCCCCCCCCCCCCAATGCTCCTGTGAGCCCCCTCAGTGCACATGAGTAAAGGAGTATTGGGCCAAACAGAAGCAGAACGATTACCTTAACCGCTGGTATACTAGGTAGAAGGTACCTAAGCACATCACCATTAGTATCATGTTAATTTTGTACCAAGAAGTATCCTGCAGGAACAATGTTTTGTCATGCCGACTCCTTCATATGTTAAGCCAGTCCGCAAATATTTGACAATGTTTTCAAATGATATCGCCTGGACGGGGTTGAAGAACAGTTGACCACCTGCGGCAGCTTTTAAAAGTACAGAAGGGTCCAGATTAAAGTGAACACATGTTTTCCTTAACAGTGTATTTGTTCCAGAAGTGTATTTGTCGCACGACCTTGGCTGTGGTGGTCATACAACACGATTAGCGACAGCGGTGGTCATTAGCGATCCATTACCAAGATCTAGTGATATTTTTTTTTTAAAATTACACCTGACTCTTCTTGACAAAAGGCAACGTACATTAACTTGAAATGGGAAGTCATTCCTCTAGAGGAGAACAATTTTGAATCTACGAAATATTTAGAAGTTTTTAACATCGAGAACGCAGATTCGAGTGGCCAAAACCCGCGATGAAACGGGATTTTGGGAGTAAGTTAATCCAATCTTTTTGGTTGAGAGCCCGACCGATTTTAGAAAGTGACACCCTAGTGTACATTCTGGCAGCTGTGTTACCATCTGCCGGCAGTGTAGCTCTTACGTCCGATGGGTGAGGTGTACAGCTCTTAGTCATAGCTTCTTTCAAATAGTCGGGAACGCGACTCATCTGTCGTGCTTTCTTTCAGCCGGCAGACGGTACAGCTTACATACCGTGACTTGTTTCAGCCGGCCGACGGTACAGCTGACATACCATGACTTGTTTCAGCCGGCCGACGGTACAGCTGACATACCGTGACTTGTTTCAGCCGGCCGACGGTACAGCTTACATACCATGACTTGTTTCAGCCGGCCGACGGTACAGCTGACATACCGTGACTTGTTTCAGCCACCCGACAGAACAGCTAACATGCCGTGACTTGTTTCAGCCGGCAGACGGTACAGCTGACATACCGTGACTTGTTTCAGCCGGCTGACGGTACAGCTTACATACCATGACTTGTTTCAGCCACCCGACAGTACAGCTAACATACCATGACTTGTTTCAGCCACCCGACAGTACAGCTAACATGCCGTGACTTGTTTCAGCCGGCAGACGGTACAGCTTACATACCATGACTTGTTTCAGCCACCCGACAGTACAGCTAACATGCCGTGACTTGTTTCAGCCGGCAGACGGTACAGCTGACATACCGTGATTTCTTCCAACCGGCTGACGGTACAGCTGACATACCGTGACACAGCTGACATACCGTGACTTGTTTCTGCCGGCCGACGTTACAGCCAACATACCGTAGCTTGTTTCAGCAGGCAGACGGTGCAGCTTGTGTATGCCGCCTTAGTTCAGACCCGCCGTGCTAGCTCGTGTGTCCTGCCTTATTTCGGCCCGTCGGCGGCACAGGGTACATGCCATGTGGTGTTTCAACCGGCACGCAACGTAGCCCACGTATTAAGTCTTGCTTCAACGGACCCACGCTGCAGCCCACATATCACGACTTTCAGCCAGTTAGCAGCAGACAGGTGCCTGGACCCCCCCAAGATCCCAGTATCTCATCAGCATGGAACCCTGCGGGATCTTAGATCCACTCTCGACACGTCTGTGACGCATCTGTGGAGGGCAGCATAGATGACGCGCCATATCTCGTATCGGCAGGCCAGCACCCAGGCGGCAGGCGTCCAGACGGTGCAGCTGCACGTGAACGCACAGGGGCAGCTGGTGCAGCAGCAGCCACAGCCGCAGCAGCAGCAGCAGCAACAACAGCAACAGCAGCAAAATATCCAGGTCATACAGCAGGTGGTGGGCGCCGATGGCCAAGTGCAGCAGATCCCGGTGAGCGGCTGCACAGACGATGACGATGACGGTTGATGATGATGATGATGATGATGATGATGATGATGATGATGATGATGATGATAATAATGATGATGACCACACAAGTGTGCTGGCCTGCGGGCGCTACTGATGTTCAGGTCTCCCGGTGGGGAGCCCGATGTCCCGCCGCTTGTGTTCGAGAATGTCCTGGTGTCTCTGCCGGAGCCGTGTTCGGACCTCTCCGGCTGTCGCGCCATAACGAGCGCGCCTCTGGAGCCAGTGTCTGCCCAGTCCGAATTGTCGTCAGCGTGGGCGTCCATGATCCGGGAGGCGGCAGCCGGTGTTCTGGGACCAGGCGTCGGTGGTCTAGGAGGACCCGGCCGATCAGGACCAGGACCGGGGGACCGGGTCGTCGGTGACCACGTGACCCGTCAGCGGCGTCCAATGCCCGACGGCTGACCGGCTGGCGCCCCGTCGCAGGTTCAGCTGAACGCTAACCAGATCCAGATGGTGCGGGTGGCGGGGCAGAACAACTCGGGCCAGCAGACGATCGTCCTTCAGCAGCCCGGGCAGGTCAGTGCCGATGGTCGTCGTCACAAGCTGTGGACACGTCAGCCGGAGCCGCTGATAGAAGTCCGGATGCATGACGTGTGTGCGGAGCAAACAGCACGGGAGTGTCGTGTCGAGTTTGGGGCATTACGCGCGGGATCGCTCTCTGGTTAGGCCGGCGGGCCCACTTAAGTGGAGTGATCTCCCTTCTTAAGTTTGTGGCAGTGCTTCGGGTCTTCAAGATATTGCGTCTCGGTTAGTTTTGGTCTTTATTGCCCTTCGCGGGTGTGGCAATATCGGTGAACGCTGGCCGGCAGGACAGCGTTGGTGAATACCGTAACGGATGGCTGGGAGGACATTCGTAAACATCGAGGCGACCGGATGGGACGGCGTGGCTGGCGGGCGGGCAACGTCCAGTGTGCTGGCCACAGCCGGGCCGTGTCCCGCCCCGCTCTGTGCTCTCACTGGGCGTCTGGGCTCGTTCCAGGGCCAGCAGGTGCTGCAGGGTCAGCAGGTGTACATAACCCAGGCGGAGAGCACGTAGCGGCGCCGGCCGCCACCGCCGCTGCCGTTCATAACCCGTCCGCCGCCGGTCTCCGGCCGGCGGCGGACCTCCTGCCGCGCCCGGGCGTCCGGAGACCGTTTGTGTCGGCCCCGCCGCCGACGGGCGGGTGCTCGGTCGTGCTCGCCGCGCCGCCGCCGCCGCCGCCAGCTGCGCCACAGTGCGGCCCGGGAACGCCATGCGGTGCGCCGTTAAGACGCAGCGTTTATACGCCGTGCGGTATTTAAGACGCGCGGAGTGATCGAGCGAGTAGTTGAATGCTGTGTTTTGCATCGGGGTTCGGACTGCCTGACGGTGATGAGGTATGTTGTGGAATGACGTGCGTTTGAACCGAGTCCGTGGTGTGCTCATCAAAAATGACGCTGAAACGACGCCGTGGACGGCGTTGCTGCTATAACATGTGCAGGAATCACACCATTTGGTTGTGTGCGCGTGTGTACGCGAGCGAGGGCGAGTGCGCTGTGCTGGGGAACGTTGTGATGTAACAACGTGCAAACATGTACAAAGTCATCTCTACTGTGCGATAAACGAACCAGAGGAAATCGATGAGCGCTGCGGCTGCGGTTATGTAGTGATTAAGCCCGCGGAGACACGCTTCACTCAAAAACATCACTCGAAAACAAGGTGAATGTAACAGAGCAGCAGCACATCAAACGCTATGTAAAAGCTTTGAGGTGTATATTGTAAGACAATATTTAGCTAACGAGGCCAGGCCCCACCCAAGTCCATTGCAAAACAGACGACACCAGGATCACCTCAGGCACGCTGACCGCAAATAATATAAATAGGCCGCCGCTCCCATTCCGCCGCGCTGGCGGCTCGTACTAGAGGCGTTTGTCACTTAACCTGAAACACGGACGGCGGTCAGCTGAGCGACGGGCAGGGTGGGGACGCCGTCAGATGATGCCATCCACTGGATCGACGTCACACTTCGAGCATAGCACGCCAGAGCGTAGCGTCTTTCGGCACAGCGGGCCAGCGCGGCGGGAGGTACTGAACGTGGCGAACAGTGTAACTTCAGTACAGGCTCTTCCTACGCAGCGGCCCGGCGCTTCATAACCGCTGGGGAGCTACCTAGCCGACATCCCGACAACGCTACACACGTTACTGGAGCGGGAGAGTGAACCACAGGTGGCGCCATTGCCACTGCTGACCTCGGTGACGAGTCCAGCTGCCACCGTGTGCCCGGCCACCCGCAGCATGAGTCGGCCATACTCCCGGAAATCCTTGTAGAGCTCGACACAGACGGGCCGCTGGAAGGTGATGACGACGTCGGCGCTGGTGTTACCCGGCAGGCAGCGCGGCCGCCGCTTCAGCACCTCCCCGGAGGAGCGGTGCAGCTGACAGAGTAGCCGGGACACGGTAGCCGGCTCGCTCAGCGACTGGTAGTGTACCACCACCTGTCAGAAGCACGCATGAACGGACGGTCAGCGTGGCAGGGAGTCAGTAGTGTTGCCCGCGGCGCGAAACGAACCCGGGACCTGTCGATCCGGGGCCGCACATCGCCCACCGGCTGGCAATCCACTCACCACCATGGCAACAGGACGTGGTGCATGGCATGGCAACAGGACGTGGCGTGGGGCCGCTCCCGACCTCAGCGCCGGGGTCAGCGGTGATTCCGTTAGGCGAGTTCCGCAACGAACAGGCCACTGTGGCAAGCAAGCGCAGCGTTGGCGGCATGGCAGACCGACGCCACAAGCCACGGCAGGCGGTTGGCAGGTGGTCGGCAGGCAGTCGGCGGGCGGCGGGCGGCGGGCGGCGGGCGGCGGGCGGCGGGCGGCGAGCGGTCGGCGCGGTCTCACAGCAACAGGGCCGGGCGGTCGACCCGCATCAGCCCGTCCGCTCGCCATCCGTGCGGCCGAGATGTTAGAAACGCGACCGGTCCACCCGCTGTCAGAATTCCTGTACCCGACTGCGAATTCGTACAGACACATCTTGTACACACACCAATGAGAATGCCTCAGCACATTCCACCTCCGGAACGGCGCTGGCACCGACCCGTGATCACCACCGCCCCCAGTCCCCTTCCCTCACCTGGTAGCCCTTGGTGATTGGCAGATCGATACTGAAGATGACGATGCGTGCCTGCACGCTGGTGGCCACGCGCACCGGCCGGGCCGGGTCACAGAGCACCACGCCCACTGTTTGGCTTTGGGCGTCGACGCTGGACAGCGTCACAGTCACGTGGTCGCCGGCGAACGCCGACTGCACAGGCATCTCGTCGATTGCCAGCCCTGCAGAGGCGCTGGACCAGCGTCAGAGGCGGGGCAGGTGGTGTGGCGTTGACGTTAAAGGGAGGTCGGGGCTCAAGTCTTGGCACACAGCCTGGAGATGCAAGCGGTTTGAAAGAGAATGCAGCGACACGAATGGGCCTTAGCGGCAGTGGCACTCGTCTGCAAAAGGCCCGCCGGTTACTGGGAGACGACGCCTGCTGCTCGGCGGCTGCGGCCGGGACACGGCACGATTACGGGCTTATCAGTTGGAGCGGATAGGGAATACACAGGCACACTCGCCACGTCACCAACAATGCTTAGAATTCGTGACAGGGCGATTGTCGGAAAGCCTATCGTGACGTCGTTTCCACGTAAGGGAGCATTATTTCAAAGAAGTGCAGCAAGAGGAGACGACGTGCTATCCTGAGGGTTAGTCCCACGTCCGGGGGCAGTTTCAAAAACTGTCTGAAGTGAAGGACTGGGTCCAGCCGCGACCGCTTGTAACGCGATCCAAACGCGTACCGATATCGTGCAAAGCAATACCTCACCCATTTGTATAATTTTCGGCTCCCTAAAGCTTGGCCGGTCGGCTCTAACTTACAGTCGGTTCTGACGTGCGGTCAGCTGCAAGCGTGTATCGCAAAAACACCAGCTTTCGACAACACTTGCACTACTATACGATGATGTATATTTAACAACTGAAGGCATGGTTCATACGCTACCATTATTTCCCACGAACTGTTCGCACCCACATGTTCTGCCGAAAGCAGCTTTATCAAGAACAATTCCGGTGGGCCAGATGAATTCCATCCTAACGAGCGTCTGGACTCGTCTGAATTGGAGCGATACGGCTTGTGCCGCGCACCTCGCACCAAGGTACCAATCACTGGCGCGTAAATCCACAAACAGGCTAAACGTGACAGTATGGGAGCTACGCACATGGCTTATGGCTTGCGGCTGCTTTCCTCATTCGTTTTCAGATATTGCAGATGGTCATATTGCTTACAGCATCGCGGCTTTCCGACCAAGTTGGCTAAAGATGGTTCATGATTGACAACGTCCAAACCACTCCCTTTCACTTAAGGTAACAGTCATGCAGAATGTAGCGCATAGCGAACCTGCATCGCTGCTGGCCCCTCTTGACTGAGCACTTTCTGCAGCACTTCTCCGCAAACCATGCCATCCCCGATCCGAACTTAAACACCACCGTATCGCACCAGACCGTTACCGCGCCCCCCGTAGCGCCGCCGTCGCCAGCGTCCTCACCCTTGACAGTGGCCGTGTCGCCGTGCGGCATGACCAGCACGCGGTCCCCCAGCTGCATCATGCCGGAGTCGATGCGGCCAGCCATGCTCAGGCCCGACTGCTGCTGGCCCTTGAACACGTCCGAGACGAACAGGCGCAGCGGCATGGAGACGGCCCGCTTCGGCGCTGGGAAGCCGTCTGACCACGACACACAGGCCGCGTCACACAGCGGGGCAGACGCACGCCAGCTCTGGCGGAGTGAGCGGCGGCACCGCGGAAGGCGATCAGGCAGACCGGACGCATCCGAACGGGATGGTGACACCGTATGAGTGTCGGTCTGAACTCGCGGCCACAGCCCCAGCCAGATGATACAGCATCGGGACCAGTGACATCACCGGGAGATATCACCGGAGCCACACCAGAGACGTCACTGGGCGTGATCGCCAGAGCCACACCACTGACATCACTGGACGTGATCGCCGGAGCCACACCACTGACGTCAACGGGCGTGATCGCCGGAGCCACACCACTAACGTCACTGGGCGTGATCGCCAGAGCCACACCACTGACATCACCGGGAGAAATCGCCGGAGCCACACCAGAGATGTCACCGGGCGTGATCGCCGGAGCCACGCCACTGACGTCACCGGGCGTGACCGCCAGAGCCACACACGGGCTCAGCCGGTACGACGGGCGGGGGAGGCTTCACACAAGTCGGGGGGCCGCCGAGACGAACCACGCCGGTGAGTGTTCGTCCGCCGCCCAAACAAACACGTGCCGTACAGTGCGCGCGGGCACGCTGCGCCGTGCGTGGCGGTGCCAGCCCGGCACTGCTTACGATTCATGACGGGCTGGTGACGCGACCGCCGGTGTCAACACTGACCTATCACCTGCAGCAGGGTGGGGCCGCTGTACCAGGCCTGCAGCTGCGGCTCCTGCGCCGGCTGCGTCAGGTTCTCGCCGGTCAGGCCGGAGCAGGGCACGTAGCGCAGCTCGGACTCGCGGAAGCCGACCGAGCGCAAAAAGGCGCCCAGCCGCGTCCGAATGTCGTCAAAGCGCGCCTGAGACCAGTCGACCGTGTCCAGCTTGTTGACGGCGATCGCCAGCTGACTGACCCCTGAGGCAGGGCGGCGGTGGCGGCGGCTCACGCGTCGGCGTCACGACCAGCGGCGGAGGTGGCATCATCAGAAGACTCGCCCACTGAGCTAGGCTGGCGAACGCAACTCACTTGGCCATACAGAATGGCCTGGCTATTTCTTCACAATATACTACAGCGAAATCATTCCCCTTGAAGACCGCATGCCGTGTGGGACGAACATAAACCGGTCTTGATTCCATTCTGGCAGTCTGGCACGCCAAAATCCATGTTTCGCCCCGCTTCGAGAATCTCAAGACCGGCGCCTCACCACTCCCCCGCACGCGGACCAGACATGACCCTGACCCAGCACGGTTCCTCACTCACCGATCAAGCGGACCAGATATGCCCCTGACCCAGACCAGACATGATCCTGACCTAGTAAGGCTCCCGGGTCACCCAACGAGCGGACCAGACGTGACCCTGACCCCGACCAAACATGATCCTGACATGGTAAGGCTCCCAGCTCACCCAACGAGCGGACCAGACGTGACCCTGACCCGGTACGGCTCCCCACTCACCCAGCGCGCGGACCAGACATGATCCTGAGCCGGTACGGCTCCCCACTCACCCAGCGAGCGGACCAGACGTGACCCTGACCCGGAACGGCTCCCCACTCACCCAGCGAGCGGACCAGACGTGACCCTGAGCTGGTACGGCTCCCCACTCACCCAGCGCGCGGACCAGACATGATCCTGAGCTGGTACGGCTCCCCACTCACCCAGCGAGCGGACCAGACGTGACCCTGACCCGGTACGGCTCCCCACTCACCCAGCGCGCGGACCAGACATGATCCTGAGCCGGTACGGCTCCCCACTCACCCAGCGAGCGGACCAGACGTGACCCTGACCTGGAACGGCTCCCCACTCACCCAGCGAGCGGACCAGACGTGACCCTGAGCTGGTACGGCTCCCCACTCACCCAGCGCGCGGACCAGACATGATCCTGAGCTGGTACGGCTCCCCACTCACCCAGCGAGCGGACCAGACATGACCCTGAGCCGGTACGGCTCCCCACTCAGCCAACGAGCGGACCAGACGTGACCCTGACCCCGACCAGACATGATCCTGACATCGTAAGGCTCCCAGCTCACCCAACGAGCGGACCAGACGTGACCCTAACCCGGTACGGCTCCCCACTCAGCCAACGAGCGGATCAGACATGATCCTGAGCCGGAACGACTCCCCACTCACCTAGCGAGCGGACCAGACGTGACCCTGACCCGGAACGGCTCCCCACTCACCCAGCGAGCGGACCAGGATGGCGTGCTCGCGGGTCTGGCCGCCCGATTCGAAGCCCGTCTCAAACTCGCCGTTGGTGGCGTTCACCACCAGCACGGCTACGTCGGCGGCGGCGGCCCCTGGCGGTCACAACGGCACGTCAGGTGGCGGGGTCATCCGGAGGTCACAGGGCTGCCGACAGTTTTGGGTGCCGATGCAGACACGTGTATGTTAATGTATCCATATGTGTAACCAGGAGCGTGACATAGTGCGCCGCGCTCCCTCGTGATATACAGGTCTGTATCTGCGCATATAGAACATCTCCGGAAGACTGGCTCTTCCATATTTAGTCAGATAACAGCGGAGTTATCACGCAGTGTTGTGCTATCGTTAAAATAATTAATAATGGCAGATTGTCAGTTTGCACGTTGCGTTTTCAACATATCACGTGACATTTATGAGTTATATTGATTATTGCCGCGGTACACATTGCACTGCATCCACCATCTGCCATCCGCAGGGAAGACAGTCGTGCTCATTTCCACAGCGTTGAAACCCTGTGTTGCAATTTATATCCAGACCGCGTTGCTCTGTTCTTAAGACTCGACGTCTCATGTGTCATCGAAATTATTCCTCCTACAACTGGGGTGCGAACTAAGACGAACGCAAGGGGTGATGTTCGTGTTGAACGCGACCCCCCGCGTGACCAGGTGACCATCTGAGACCCCTGCACATAGGCTGGTGGCTACCACCCTGACCGGAGTGGAGCTTTCTTACCTGTGATCATGTTCGGAATAAAGTCCTTGTGGCCGGGCGCGTCCAGCAGCGTCACCGTCTTCTGCGGCGTCTCGAACTTGAAGTGGGCCACATCCATGGTGATGCCGCGTGCTCTGGGGTCGTGACAGGTTAGGGGAGATCAGATCGGGGTCACGTTGGTGCTGGGGTAGAACATGGAGCTGGGACTAGGTCCGAAATGTGTGGGTGCCACTGGAGGCACGATTAGTCAGTTGCGCCAGACAAGCCATCTCATCAGTTACGTCAAACAAGCTATCTGCTGGGGCGAATTGAATGACCGAGTGGAACGTTCTATTTATCGTTTGCTACAATATCGGCGACTTCAAAAGCTTCAGATTGACTGGCAATCTATGCCAGCTGAAGAGTAAAGTCCCCTCATCGACGTCAAGTGGTGGACGCCTGTGCCCCCGCCCGCTTTAGTTGGCACCATCCTGCATGCGTGGCCTGGTCGCCACAGAGGCCAGCACATCATTCACGAGCATAGTGTTGCCACTGAAACCACGGGTGGAGGTCAGGATCACTCGTTAGGTGAAGATCAGACCTTAAAATACGGAAACTGAAACTGTCCACCAAAGACACGCCTTCTGGAACACCGGACTGACCTCTCTTCGCCAGTTTCGTCTAGCACCCAGGCGAACTTGAAAGACTGCTTGCCCATCTTCTTGCTCTCGGTTTCATATTTATGCATGGCCTTCTTATTAACACAGCCCAGTTGACAGAGCAGATGGCCCATCAAAGTAGATTTGCCTGTTCAGGAAAGAAAGAATGCCATGTGAGTGGACACAGCCAGCCTGAAACACATTATTTCGCTCCCAAGTCCCAAGCGAGTTTGCACATCGTTTTAACCTACTTGACATGTAGCTTCACACTTCAGTGTATCAGACAATATTCACTGTGTATGTTAGCATTAAATGTGCATTGTACATTGTGCATGAAAGCATACGGAAATGACAATAGCCCATTACGAAAATATTGCCGTAGTGCGTTATTACAGGCATACGCAAATGACAACGGCCCATTACCAAAACATTACCAGTTTGAATGGCCCATTACGGAAGACGCGCCTCAGCAGTGGACGTCCCGCCGCGGAAACGACAAACCATGAGAATGAAACCAGTGACACATCATAGGATCCGGGATGGGCCACTATCGGGACGGAACTCACCGGCGTCCACGTGACCGATGACCACCATGTTGATCAGCTGTTTGCCGCCCGCCCGCTCCTTGTCGTACTCGGCCTGGGCGTCCCGAGTCCTAAACAGCACGTGATATGGTGTCACCGACGAGACGTCACCGTCGATGGGGCCGAGGACGGCAGCCCTCTCCCACCTTCTCCCATGTGCAAAGAAAGCCCCAGTGAACACCTAAGCGAGTACATAACGGGAGAAAAGAAGATCGCAGCGCCTCCCGTTAGCTTACGATTCTGCGCATGCAGCCGGCTAGCTTGCTAGCTGGCTGTGCTAACTATCGCCTGTCACAGTATGTGCGCCGACAGTATAAGCTGAGCCGCTCCACCGCGGCCCGTGCAGTGTTCATCTCCTCGCGCCGGAGCAGAGCGCGCCCCACGGCACACCGCCGGCCACGTACGAGGCGGGGGTGCGCGGCGAGGCGGTATCGGCGCCGGCCGACTGCGCGGGCGACTGGCGGCGGGACGAGAGAGGCGAGCTGGAGCCGGAGCGGCTGGCGGCGCCGCGCAGCTCACGCACTTCCGCCGGGAGCGCCGGCGCCGACGCGGCGGCTGGCGGCGTCTCCTTCTCTGACCCTGGAGCAGATGCGGAGGGTGGGCCGAGGGGTCACACACTGCGGGAGAACGTGCTGAGTGATTGAGACATGGAGCTTCTGTTCACAAGCTGTCGCGCACGAGCCGAGCACCTGCTACCAATACCAGAACAAATCAGATGAAAGGACGCTAAGTTATGAGGCTGTCAAGACAAGTGGACGATATATATATATATATATATATATATATATATATATATATATATATATATATGAACAAGTTACCAGATTCTTCAAAGAACTCGCATATACAGCATTTACACGCCAGTGCATGGCTCGGTCAAGCATAATATAACCCAGACTGCACAGTGACCAGACAGATCGGCACAGTTCCACACAGAGCCGTATTTGTCCCATGCTTCGCACGAGACGCCTTCGAGGCATCGCCCAAGGCCATACCAGCCGGCTGCTCCTGGAAGCCAATGATGACACGGGCGGCGGGGGCGGGCCGACAGTTGACCTCAGCTGCCTTCACTGGCCGGAACATCGCTGCAAGGAGCGGTCCGCCAGTCAGGCCCGGACGGCATTCGGAGGCATTGCGGGTTACAGAGCCAAGGGCACAGGACGACCCAGCCGAGCGGATCCACCCTAAGGACCCTGATATTGCCTAAGGCGGCAATAACAGGGTCTCAAAACAATTGCAGTGCGGCCAAAGCATGACGTCATAAAAGGGTAATCGTACAGGAAGCGTACACAGGTGGACACTGGCTGGAGGATCGTTCTGTCATATGTAGTCACGCACCACGTGTATAGAGTCCAAAATACCTGTTCCAAATACCAGAAACGGGAGCGATGTTCCCACTGACAAAGGGGCAGTTCACGTACGAGCGTGACACCAGGGGTACAATCGTTATGTAGAGAACCGTTCATGGATCATTTGCCTATATGATCCTGTTGATAATTCGAGATAAGAATATGATGGCTTAAAAGCTGTACAAATTGAACACCATAAATGTTACCCGAATTTAGTGGTGTGGTTCGAGGGGAGAGGGTCATAATTCGACCCGTGCTTAAGGCAGAATGGACCCAAACAGGCTGGGAAACACCGAACTAGCGGTTAATGAGTAACACTCATGCGTCAATTTCAGACAACTTACTTGACACAGAATCATTCATTCATGACTTCATTATGACCCTGTTTCAATATCGCAACGAAGCACGCCAGTTGTTCCGGACGTATGGCATCACAAAAGACTGTCAGATTTGTTAGCATGCACAGAAACCTTGGGCACTTAACCACGCTTTTCGCCCGCATCAGTTTACAACAAGCTCAAACATGAACGGGCAGATCCGCCAGCCTTGGGGCCTTGGGGTACTTACCAACAATATATTCAGATACACGCATGCTCCAGTCCAACTCAATTTAGACCGGCGTCGAGAAGGCCATGAGGTTAGGAATGTACAAATGTTGTATTTATTGATACCACCCACGATGCCAGCTTTCACGCCAGAGATACAACGATCATTCATGAAACACCGCCTGAAGGCGTGCAGCCGTTGTATGCTTCCTTTACGAAATAAAAACCATGCCTAGACAATAATTACAGATGCCGTTAACCTGACTGATTTTTGAACATCAATTACAGCATGTTACTGTTCATCGTTTGCACTAAGTACAGAATGCTTCAGGCTTGGTATCCCACTTGATGAAGACCGTGAGTAAAAAATACTTTCAAATTTGTTGAGGTAAAATATTCTGTCATACAGTGAAACAAAATGGTACATCGCAACTGCCAAAGCGGTGATGATGAATTCATGAATTCCAGAAGACTGGATTTAATATTTTCCAATGAAAACGCCAGTGTTTTAATTTACACTGGCCAATAACCATACCTGCCGCGCCCCAGCCCCCCCCCCCCTACACATCGCGCAGGTATGCTTAAAACATACGTCAACCCTTGAGCAAACACCACAATACGTTGCATCGCATACGCGGCATATACAGCGTCCCCGCAGCGTAAGCCACACACGGCCCCACGCGACTGATCAAAGGTTCATTTGACGCCCCACACGCCCCCATGCGCTCCCCGTCCATCCCGGCCCGGTGAACGGACCACGCGCCGTACCAGCGTCACGCCACGTCACACCTTGCGCAGCACCTGGCGCTGCTTGGCGAGCACCTCGTCGTCGGGCGAGGGCGTGTCAAACTTGAACGGACTCAGCTCGGCGCCCGGGGCCCAGGCGCCGCTGAACAGCCAGAACTGTCGGCGCCGCCCGCGCGCCGCAGCCGGCGCCATGCTGCGAGCCAGTGGCGACGGCGCGGCGCACAGACCGACTGGCGGCGGTAGCGACGGCAGCGGCGGCAGCGGGGGAGGCGGCAGGGCCTCTGGCCAGCGCTGGCCGTACGTGTCACGGCCGTCCAGCGACGCCTCCTTCCGTCCCGCACCGCCAGGTGCCCCCGGCCCGAGCGGCCTCGGACGGGGCTCCGGCAGCAGCGCCGCACTCAGGTCGATCGCACCTCCACCGCCACCCGGAGAGGGGACCCCCGGCCCCGAGCCCTGGCAGGGAGCAGATCTCGGTTCTCGGCCGGCTACGCCAGTCGCAGCCTTCAGGGAGGGAGTTCTAGATGTGTGAGGCCCCACAGACGATGCCATCTGCTTCAGGGAAGGTACGCCAGCTGTGCGAGGTCCCACAGCTGACGCCATCTGTTTCAGGGAAGGTACACCAGCTGTGTGAGGTTCCACAGATGACGCCATCTGTTTCAGGGAAGGTACGCCAGCTGTGCGAGGTCCCACAGCTGACGCCATCTGTTTCAGGGAAGGCACGCCAGCTGTGTGAGGTCCCACAGATGACGCCATCTGTTTCAGGGGAGGTACGCCAGCTGTGCGAGGTCCCACAGATGACGCCATCTGTTTCAGTGAAGGTACACCAGCTGTGTGAGGCCCCACAGATGACGCCATCTGTTTCAGGGAAGGTACACCAGCTGTGCGAGGTCCCACAGCTGACGCCATCTGTTTAAGGGAAGGTACACCTGCTGTGTGAGGTCCCACAGATGATGTCATCTGTTTCAGGGAAGGTACACCAGCTGTGTGAGGTCCCACGAATGACGCCATCTGTTTTAGGGAAGGTATACCAGCTGTGTGAGGTCCCACAGATGACGCCATCTGTTTCAGGGGAGGTACACCAGCTGTGTGAGGCCCCACAGATGATGCCATCTGTTTCAGGGAAGGTACACCAGCTGTGTGAGGTCCCACAGATGATGCCATCTGCGTCAGGGAACTCGCACCAGCTGAGGGCCGCCCCGTCCAGCCAAGCCTAGCCCCGTCCAAAGCGGTGTCAGTGCGTGCAAAAGGGTCGCCACCGGTGGCCGCAGGTGCCACCAACGGCCGTCCGGCCTGGTCCCGAGGTGCCGGCGGCATGCTGGCCAGACCGCCGGGGAGCGCCGCGCCGACGGCAGCGGAGTGGGAGCGGGCAGCGCCGACCGCCGCTGGGTCACGAGCGGCGGGACCGTCGGCCGCAGCAGGAGCACCGGCTGCGGCCCGGACAAAGCCTTACCTTACCCAAGAATGATCACAGCAGCCGCCGCCAGGCACGCACATGCAAATGAGGGACATTTCAAAATTAGAACACTGCATTAGGCGCTCATAATTCAGCGCATATCACAGTACAGGACCTGTCTTTACAGACTTCAAGGGAGTATGCGGTCCTCCCTGTACTTGTCCCCTATTGTTAGGTCAGACGTGTCCAGTTTCATCTGTACTGCCAATTTTCTCGAAATATTTCTGGATAGCGCACAATTTCGATCTGAAGAAGCCGCTCATGCAGGAGAAATATCGTTCTGGATCCTCGAAAATCTCGAAATCTCGAAAAATCGGACTCCCTACTCACGAATATGACTGAATAAATATCATTTATCTTGCTTTTGTATCGTGCGTGTGTTCTGTGACGTTTGTAACGCACTAATTTGTCAAGGTGCTAAAGGAACGAGTGCTACGAAAGCTTGTACTGCTCTTAAAAAACAAACAAGGGTATCATATATATATATATATATATATATATATATATATATATATATATATATATATATATATAATAAATGCAACTTCACAAACTGTGAATTCAACAAAACGTTGTATTATGGCTTTCATTCCAACCCCGTTGTGTTTACCACAGTGGCTCCTTCCAAAGTGTACGTTGTCTTTGGGAATAAAAGCATTACAAAACCTATGCGACGCGCCGGTTTACACTACAATCAATGCTCTTCTCGACGCAAGCCCTTGCCCGCTAGACCGACCCCGAACGTTCTTTTGTATTGACGTTATTCATACTAGAAGTGGTATCACTACTAAGCCTGTAGGCTCGAAATAAAACAGCTCAAATTGGCAGCTCTAACACTCAACAGCTAACCAGGGCCCTCAGCAGATTTCGCCGTCGTCATGACGACGGCGGTCGCGACAACTGCAGCTGTCACGAACTAGGGATAGACTCTGGGGCTACCAAGAAAGGAAGAAACGCGGTGCTGTTATAAAGCGTTGACAGCTATTTCTGATTTAAAACTAATCACAATTTATATCCTTTTTATCTTTCAATGGTGCTGCAATGGTGCACGGTACCTGAGAACGCACCTGAGCGCACCTAAGGCGGCACGGGTCAGGAGCGAACGTACCTGATGCGGTGGCGGCGGTGTCTGGGCTCGGCTCGGTGCAGCTTGGCCGGGCCTCGGCCACGGCACGAGCCGTCGGCGGACTTTCCAGAGAATCGCGCCTGGAGAGCCGGGACGAGCCTGCAACACGGCGCCCACCTGTCACTGAGGGCTGACTGGCGAACACGGGACGAGCCTGCAACACGGCGCCCAACTGTCACTGGGGGCTGACTGGTGAACACCGGCTCATCTCCGGCACCAGGTGCAGTGTCAGGTTAACACCGACATTCAGCACCACCACAAATCATGGAAGAATGACAAAATGGATCCAGATATGTATTGTTTATTAGTACCTCATTTCCATATTTCTGCTACCTCAATTACTTATCATATACTTTTATGTGCGTTTTGTGTTGTGTTGATTATGGTTTGTGTTATGTTTCATTTAAATGCGCACTTTTTGCTCTCTGAAAACGTGCCTTTGTCTGTGTTTTTACTTTCTGTCTTGTTAGGTAGGTATCCTCTTTGTTCGCACAGCTCGCCTCTCAGGGGCGAGGAGGGGATTTGTGCGGGCTGGTCAGTCCTTGCCCGCGGCGTTTTGAGGCTGTCACGGTTAGTTGTGCAGGACTGACGCGCAGCAGGATGCGTCCCAGACCCCAGAACAAAAGAACTGAATACCGGCTGGGTAGCGTCCGCCTGGTAACGATATTTCCTTAACGTTTTTCCCCCCAAAAACAATGGAACTCGCGAGGCATAATATAGCGACGGGCGTCTATCGAGCCCGTGCTTATGGAGACGGCACACAATGTGATTTGCATCCAAGAGACCCATTCTCTACTCACAGATGTATGTGGCTTTCACACCTCCGGCTATATCATGCACGCTTCTTACGGAAACATTGTCCGGAGGCCGGGTGGCGTTTGTCTTTATGTCAAAGATGCCCCCACACCTTATCCAATACAACTACAAACGCCCCTACAAGCCGACGTCTGCTTGGTGAGAGTCGGTGGAATCAGACTGGCCACCTGTTCTCTTTCTTTACCCCCTAGTGAAAACTTAACGCTCCCGAATCTAGCTTATCTCATTGCAACTCTTTCTGGACCACTATTATCTGTGAGTATGCGGATAGTCGGCGTGTGATGTGGAGAGTGGGCCGGTGCGACCAAAGGGGCATTATTGGAGAGTGGGCCGGTGCGACCGGAGGGGCATTATTGGAGAGTGGGCCGGTGCGACCGAAGGGGCATTATTGGAGAGTGGGCCGGTGCGACGGAAGGGGCATTATTGGAGAGTGGGCCGGTGCGACCAAAGGGGCATTATTGGAGAGTGGGCGAGACCAAAGTGGCATTATTGGAGAGTGGACAGGTGCGACCGAAGGGGCATTATTGGACAGTGGGCGGGACCAAAATGGCATTATTGGAGAGTGGGCCGGTGCGACCGAACGGGCATTATTTGGCAGCGAATTATCCAGCAACGTACTTTAACGTGTTGAATAATGACAGTCTCACGAGGACGGACGAATACTCCGGCCTTCATTCACAGGTAGGCACCACGGTGTCATCCAACAGTAGCGATCAGTATCCGGGCTGGAAAACAGATTCCGACCTCCACTCTAGTGACCATTTCCCGATCTATAGACAAATGAACATGGGATTGGAAAAACACCCAAGTTCGGACCTGTTCTCAGCTTGAATCTGACTCAAGCCGAGTGGGACGAGTTTGCGGAGAGATGTGCGCTAGTTTCATAGAGCAAAAATTGCGGAGACATGAATGGCATTTTTGTTGGCGCAGCGAAAAAGAATCTCCCAAAGAAAACCGGGAAATCAAAGTCCAGCTGTTCTTGGAGGGGGGTGAATGCAAAGAGGCCATTCCCGTCAAAAAAACGGGCCTTAAACCGTTTTCGGTGTGATCGACAAAATGCTGATTTATTTGTGGAAGACCAGAAAACAAAAGCGAAAGCGAGAGGCGTGGGCAAACCTGATCATTTTATTCAATTGTAGAGCATGTATGACGCAACTTAGGCGCATGATAAGGAGATTTACCGACAAAGCGAGAGCGAGCATGCCACTTCCGGTGCTGAAAATTACTATGCATCCGCGTGGCCGGGTAAATCTCATCCCCCTACGATCTCAGAAACTAAGAGAGCTAGAGACACCAAATTGACAGGTGTGTTGGCCTGTACGTAAACCCATTTGCGTCAAAATTTGGGGTTCCTGGGTCACGGCCTTCGGGTCAATTAAGGTCAAACAAGGTCAAACTAGATTTGTGTCCAAAGCGCCCCAGAACCTAGATATCTAGGCAAAAGACACCGGTGCTCATTTTATGTCAAACGCCTGACCTTTCGGAAGTGACAGTGACCGAAATCATACAAGACTGCTTTGCGTTTCACATTTAGATAAGCGTCAAACATCATGCGAAGCAGTATATTCCAAAAACAAAATGCTGATCTGGGCCATTTTAGGTCTGTGGCCTATCGTGACATATCATAAGTCTATGGAAGATGTATAATGCGGTTGCTGTTATCGAAAAATCGAGATGAGTACCAGAAACTACCTCACACAGCAAGCTCCATGGTAATGAAACAGGTTGGTGTTGACCTAGGTCAAACTTTCATAGCTGACCCTTGGTCGATGGACTTTTTTCATTCAATTTTTGTATTGCCTAAAAAACTATCTCGGAGGTGTCCGGTCTCGTCTAACATTCCGTTGTTAGATCAGATTGAAGGATTCCCTAGAAATCGTCTTCGCTCAACCCATGGCCTGACCTTGACCTGTCGTAGGTCAGCGACCCTACAAGATATATCTAAATTTTTATGCCCAACGATCCGCTATCCAAATGTCCATAGTTAGGTAAAATTTTGCGCAGCTACGCCATGCCGTTCGGAAACCATTCCGGAAAAACCTTTAGAGGGTCAAATCGAACCCCACCCAACCATGTGTCAACGGCGACATCATTGACGACCCTCAAGAGGTTGGAGATGTCCTTGGAAAAAAATTCTGACCTTTCATCGCCGCTGAACTACGGCCATATTTTCGGAGATCACGTGGAAACAATGGTGGATAATATGCCCGACTTTGCGTCTGAAAACAATGAAATACACCATACTTTGTTTGCAAATTACGAGTTAGCAGACAAGATCAACCCGTGAGGAAATACCTGGACAAGGCCTGACATGATTCATTTGGCGTCTTTTAAACATACAAATGAATCACAATTAAATGCTACAATTAGTCAACTGCACACGGCGTAACAAATGTTCCCTCTAGGAGTGGAAGGCGTTTGTACGGCATGCCACCTGATGAGTGTCAGAGAACGTGGCATTTTCCCCACCCACTCATTACTGAAACTGATCAATATTGAAGTTTGCAAGACAGGAAACGCGAAAAAAACCGACGCCAGAAGTCACTCATACAAAGATGGACGCTTGAGCCCGGAAGGCTATGCGCCCTATCCCACAACAGGCCGTGCGCCCACCTGATCCGGGCATGCCGGCTACGGCGCCGGCCAGGATGGCGTCCAGCGCGCGGGCGCAGCTGTAGTCGTGCTGCAGCACGGCCCGCACGATGGTGTGATCCGAGACCGTCTCGCCCACCACGTCCCGCACGGCGTCCAGACAGGAGAGGAGGCGCGCGCGCTGCTCGTCCCCCAACTGCTCGGGGATCAGGGGGCCGGTCGAGTCTTGGCGGCCGGCCGCCGGGTGGCCGGCGCTCTCCTGCGGCGCAAGACCACGTGTCATGGATGAACGGGGGACGACGCCCTGCTGCTGCCAACGACAGGGGAGGGAGGGCGTGGTGCGCCGTCATACTGCGACGCACGGGCACACTGGAGAGACAAACGGAGATGACGCCCTTCTGGGGCAGAGGGATGGGGGATGTGCAGAGTGACGTCAGGGACGTCCTGCGGAAGGCGGGGTGGGGAGGGGAGGGGATCACGGCGGGACGGGGAAGGGGGAGGCACCGCCACCCTACCGCATCGTTGTTACAGGGGGTACCGTCGCGATTTTGCCGTAGTCGTGGACGCAAGCGAAGAAGGGACATGCAAGGGATGGGGCTTACAAGGTGATGGCACTTGCACCAATTCGAATCTTACCTGCTTATCGCCACCCGCCATGAAAGCACAGCACCGCAGCCGCTGGTGAGTTTCGAACCCATACCCTGGCGACTGTGAGTCAATCCACGCCGCCGGGCTACCCAAGTGGGGGCCCCACCTCGCCTTCCTCGGCGATGGTGGTGTCGTGCAGCAGGAAAGCGTCCATGTTGTGCTGTCGGCTGCGGTCGAACGTGAACTCGCGCTCTACGGACGACGGCGACATGGTGTACTCGTCGTCCACGCTGTGGCCGTACACGTCATAGTAGCCGTCGTATTCTGGGGACAACCAGCCAGCGTCACATCGAACGTCCGGCCTCTCAGCTAAGTGCGTGGCTATCTAAGTTTGTGGGTTGACTAAGGGGCCAGGCGTGACAAAGGTACGTCTCATCTTTAAAGGGAGAATAACCACAGTGGTGTGAGGAACTTATTCGCATGGAAATTCATGTCTTTCCATGTCATATACAGTTAAACAACTAACTGGGCGCGTGAAAAGACCACACTGGGGTAAGTCGTTCTTAATAAAGATCGCACCCCGCCAGATTGACGACCAACAGGCTTACCATCGTCGTAGTTCATTCCACGCACATTGCGGTGTCGAGACATGGTGTCTTGCGTGGTCTGACACCAGTCTCAGTAGGCTGAAACCAGACCACAGCATAAACCACTGTAATAAGGTCAACTGAGTTTGATGCACTGGCATATCAAGAATGGGTGGAAGATCATGCATCCAAGTCAGCTAATTTCTCACTAAAAATACACAGCTTTTGCCACTGTCATGACCATCAAGTTGGTATTGTTGCTGACAAACATGCAGTTGACTGATAAACCTGCATTTGTGTGTGTGTGTGTGTGTGTGTGTGTGTGTGTGTGTGTGTGTGTGTGTGTGTGTGTGTGTGTGTGTGTGTGTGTGTGTGTGCGTGCATGCGTGCGTGCGTGCGTGCGTGCGTGCGTGCGTGCGTGCGTGCGTGCGTGCGTGCGTGCGTGCGTGCGTGCGTGCGTGCGTGCGTGCGTGCGTGCGTGCATGCATGCATGCATGCATGTCATTGGGGCTTTGTGATGCAAACAGCATCTAAGGCTATGTGGTGCTGCCTGTCTCTCAGTCTGGCAGGAAGGGCAGATATTGCAGGGAATGGAGCAACATACCTCATGTTTTTGAAACATGCAATTTAAACACTGACATATCGATAGAACCTTACTGTTTTCTGATTGCTTTTGACATTGCATGCAGTTGAGAGGAAACGCCAGCTGCCATGGAGGCATTCCCTCAGCAATATGGGGAAAACTCAGTGTTTTCCAGACTGTAAATATGCATGTTATGCCAAATGGGTGTGCTATAGCAGCACAGCCACTGCCACAATTTTAGAACACAAAATGTAAATATGAGTGCTGAGCTTAGTACAGCCAGCATCAATTTTTGTGGTAAAAGCACCAATTATCCAAGCAATTGTATGCTGAAAAGGTAATTTAGGACAATGATACTCCAAAAACATTCCTACCTGGGAAAACTGTGACAATTTAACACAATTTGGCCTGGCCCATGGTTGATGCATGCAACAAACTGATTCAGTGCACTGATGTCACACAGCCACATGGCAAAACAGATGGTGTTTAGCAGACCACCATGCCACCTCTCCCCCCTCAGATTGCTTGCTCTTGATCAATGTTCCAATTATAATGATGTTCCTCATTGCTACCCATGATGGTGTCATTCTCAGGCAAACACAAAGGATAAGCTTCTGGCAGGGGAAACGTGTGACAAAATTTCCAGACATGGGGCACAATTCCAAGCCAAACATATTACACCCTTAAAGGAGGTGTTCTGTATTTGTATGGGGTTTTGAACTGAAGTGCCCATCTTGAAGATCATTTGGTGCAGTTCACAGCCCTGCCCTTCTACGCACAGCTAAACCCCTTTAATTTCAATGACACACACTCACTGTTAATTGTTTAATCTCACATAAATGCACACAATTTCAAGACATAATGATCATCAATTGGCTACCAATCAATGTCATGCTAGGTACAATGGCATCTTGAGAATCATACTTGCTGAACAGATAAATGGTATTATCTACAGCACTCTTATCCACCTAAAAGCAAACAAACAATTAAGAGTGAACCTGTTTCATTATATCTGATGCTTGCTTCAATGCCTTCATATATGGAGCATTCCATTTATGGGGAAGTGTTCATGATTGTTTTGGGTATGGCTTCAATGGAATACCCACCTTGAAGATCATTTGGTGCAGTTGACAGTCCTGCCCTCTTTATGACCTAAATCCTTCTAGTTTTTTAGCTACACACCCACAAGTATGTGCAGGCTGTTACATGCACTCCTTCAAGGTCAACCAGGCATCAACAACTGAACAACATTATTCACATCTAGCCATTCCACAGGTCATGCAGTAAACAAAGCCTTAAGGTCGATAAAAACATAATGCTGAGTCATAAACGGCTGGCATTCATGAACCCCATTTCAAGATACAACAGCTGCTGTGCAAGGTATGATAACACAATCAATGATGCATTGAGGATCATATTCACTAAACAGAGAAACCGTGAAATTCGGAGCAGTTTTTTCCACTTGAAAAGTACACTATAAGTTATAAGTGAGCTCATATCATCATATCCGGTGTTTGCTTCGGTGTCTTAACGTATAACATTTCCTTTGACGTCATGAGAATTTGTCGCACGATTGTGAATTTTAACATGACTTAAGAAGCACACACCGCCCTGCAAATAATCAATTAGTACGACTGCGCCCATCAAAACATTTCTAACACCGGTGATCAATCTTATGCTGATTTTACACACTCTTACCTTGATCTGGCCTGGACTCTCGCCGCACGTGCATTACACCCAAACCCACGCCGAACGCGAATTTATTCCGGCACGTATGAAAATTCCACTGTGGGCAAAACTGAGCTGCAAAGTTACCAAATTTCAGAAGTTTTTACCCGCGCTCCCAGAGCCTGGCAGTGTACACGCAGGATTGGCGCACAGTAAATACGCATGTCGAGCACGAAAGTGACATGGTTGGAACACCTGGATACTGTAGACACATACGCAAAACGGAACGGGGTCGGGGTGAGTCAGGGCTTCACAAACTAAGTAACACGAGTCGATTTTGAACAATTTCAGCTCCCGGGGCATGCATCACCTCCAGAGAGGGGATGACACCCAAGGGACGCGGTAACCGGGGGGGGGGGGGGGGGGGGGGGAGGGAGGGGCGGCGGTGGGGACAGCTCCTCCAACTTGAAAGCTGTGGGAGGGGGGGGAATGCAAAAGTCTACTCTGACCTATCGCGGGCTGATTCGGGGATACTATGGCCCCTTCTGACCAAAAGCGAGCAATTCTGAACCTAAAGAGGGCCCTTTGTGCACTGTAGATGTTTATTCCGGCCCGTAGAGGCCCATTCTGATCTGAAGGTGGCTCAAAATTGGCTGAGGTGGGTCCATTCTGTTCTGTGAGGGGCCCATTCTGGCCTTTGGAAGGGTCATGGGGTCATCCTGGCCTTGAGAGAAGCCATTCCGGCCTGCAGATGCTCATCATGACTTGTAGAAGGTCCATAAGCTATCGTTTAGAATGTTACTCCATTCCAACTTCTAGATGGTCCTTTCTGGCCTGTAGCAGCACACTACCGAATTTTAGAGGGCCCATTTCCGCATTTTAGAGTCCCCTTAACTTGAGCAGTTTCAGGCGCCCCTGCAACCAAATCCCCTTGGCTAATCGCCGTCGGCTCCATGTGTAACGTGATCAGCGTGGCGCTAGGTAGTGCATCGCACGGCTGAGCTGGGGCTAAGGCTGCGTCTGCGGCCGGGCCTGGGCCTGGAACTGCGACTGGGCGTGGGCCTGGGACTGCAACTGGGCGTGGGCCTGGGACTGCCGCTGGGCATGGGCCTGGGACTGCGGCTGGGCGTGGGCCTGGGACTGCCGCTGGGCATGGGCCTGGGACTGCGGCTGGGCCTGGGCCTGGTACTGCAGCTGGGCCTGGGCCTGGTACTGTGGCTGAGCCTGGGCCTAGGACTGGAACTGGCATCGCGGCTGGGTCTGGGCCCAGTTCTGGGCCTGGCACTGGGCTTGGGCTTGGGAATGGAGCTGGGACTGGGGCTTAGGCCGGCATGACTGAGGACTGAGGCTGACCTAGGACCGGACTGGGGCTGGGACTGGGGCTGGGACTGGGGCTAGGGCTGGGAATGGGACTGGGATTGGAGCTGGCACTGAGGCTTGGGCCGGGGCTGGAGCTGGAGCTGACGCTGGAGCTGGAGCTGGAGCTGTGGCTGGCGCTGTGGCTGGCGCCGGAGCTGGCGCTGGGAATTGGCATAATATAGCCAGGGGTGGTGGATTTGGGGAGGGCAGGGTGCAGTAATCCCCTGCCAAACCCGGGCAACATTTCACATGGCGGCAGTGCACTCACGAAAGGAGCAGGTTACAAGGGCCGAGATCGAGCAGCGCTTCCTAGCGGTAATCACTTTCACAGTCCGATGAACACGCTCCACAGCCCACTTTCCGTCTGGCTCGAACACCGCTCGAAACCGCAGCTCTGCTCCTCAATTGCAGCGAGCACAGCGAATCTCTGACTGCGGAAGACCGCATCATTGTCCGCCAAAATCTCCACTGGTGCCTGGTGCCGAGGAAGAGCTGCTCGAGGTGGATAACGACCTCGTTGGCGTCGGCGTAGCGCAGCGAGCGACTCACACAGAAACACGACGGCCCACAATCGATGATGGAGAGGTAGCTCCGTCGCTGATGGTGCGTGACGTCGATGGTGATGCACTCCCACATCGCGGTCACGCCAATCGAGCCGCATCGCCATGACACCAGCGCGGGTCGATGTAGCGGCACACGTCACATCCCTCCTCTACCGCCGCGCCGCCGCCCGTATGATGCCACGCGACCCGTCGCGGCGCGCAAAGAACAGCGTCCGTCGGACGCCGGGGTGGCCCTCCCGCTCGTGCGTCGCCCGAACCAATGCACTGAGCGTGTCTCCCTCGGTGACGTCAGCGCGCGTCACACCACAGGCCGCCGCCGCCGCCGTCTCCCCGGGGTCAACCTGCTGCCTCTGCTGTCGGGAGCCGCTCGTCACTCACACCGACACGAGCTCGCGCTACAACGCCGGTCAGATCTAGCGCTTCTACGCGAGAACCGGCGAGGATCACCTGGCGTACACCCTCCAAGAGGCCGACGACAACCGCACACACCAGAGCGAGGTCCGGCACACCGCCGGAGAGCGTCACCAGCCGCTTCAAGTATGTTACATAAATACATGCAGACTCACTTGGCTGGATCCGCCGGTTGGAGGATGTGTCAAACGCCGCGCACTGGTCCAACGCAAACGATGCAAACAGGGCGTCTTCACGTTGTCCTGCGAGCCACAAGCCTCTGCCGGCAACTGAGCCCATACGGCGAAAGCCCCGCCCGCCAGGCGCAGGGCAAGCACTGCGCTAATGGGGACGCCGCGGTGCTTACGCAGGAGGTCGGTCTGTGTCGGTCTCAACTCTCCACACCACTCCACAACGTCGGTCGTGCCGTCAGGATCGGACATGACACGCACGTCAAACGAGGCACCACTTCCTCGGACACCGGATCAGCCTCTTCACCGGGCACAGCTATGCCGAAGTAGCTTATAATCGCAAGAAGGTGGTGCAAAAGTCCTTCGTTATATCATCACAATCTGAGACAGCAACAAAGCAACATCAAGCACACAGCGCCGCAACACCCCCTCCCCCCCCGCACCCCACACCCAGCCCCTCTCACCGACGCAGCGGCGAGACCAGTGGCGAGTCTCTGGTAGTCTTGGCCTTGGGCGGGCCAAAACTCCCCGCTACAGCGCACGCGCGTTTTTATCGCTGGGAACTTACGTCGTACGCATCCACTAAACAACAATTGATGCAAGGTATTCCATATTGCCTTCCGTGATTCCAGAAATAACTGGGTCGTCATCAATTAGCCCACACGCCGTTGGTTCGCCAAACAGCACATGCAATTGACGTTAGTAAAGAAATTGGTTAAACTTCTATCTAATATCTACAGGACAGTGCTAAGAAAAATGCACAGTGGTTCTCTTTGCTTCCGCGTAGACGTAATTTTGCCGGGGCACCGCGATTCGGTCAGCACGCACCGGTCGGCTCTGACCGCAGTCGGCAATGCGCCGCCATAGCGCAAAAATGTCATATCGCCTAATCAGCAATTCATATTTGCGTATGGTAGTGGTCTCACAGCAAAATAGTTTGAGAATGGTCGTCTCTGCCGCGCACACACACAAACATTTTGTTATTACCCTCCGTAACTCCAGAAGTGTCCGGCTGGTCAGAAATGGGTGCATACGCCGTTGAGGCACTCAGTGGCATATATCAATGACGTCATCATCGACAGCGGTTCCAACGATACCTGATAGCTGTAAAACGGTACGAACGAAAATGCACGGTGGTTTACATCCCGAGCGTACGCAAGGTACTTAGCCGGGCCAACGTAATCCTGCAACACGCTAACGCCCATCCTGTAACCTGGAGCTAAATGGCAATGCCCTATGCATACATGCTGCTGAGTATCAGGATTCTCTCATGAACAAGATATGTTCCTCGCACCGAACCACGGGAGTGACGAACGGAGCCCCTCCCTGACACCACACCGGCGACGCCGACAGTCAATCTCTCAACTCTCCACTGCCGCTGCGCCGCCGCCCGCGTGACGTCACGCGACTCGTCGCGGTGCGTAAAGAACAGAACTGTGCAAAGAAGAAGGGGAACTGTGCCTGACGCCACCGGACTTTGGCTCTCGCTTCTGCCGGCGCTGACCCACCCCGGGCCCCTTTTTAGTCGCAAGAGGGGGACGTTGTCAAAAATTTGAGGGGTTTGGAAGCATTTGAGTCGTTTCTTTTCATGTACCGCCGAAAACCCTAGTGTTAAATTATCTTAGCTGTTGAGAGGTTGCTCAGTTGTTGAGAACTGCAGTTGTTCTCTGGAGGACTGCTTGAGGCCTGCTCCAGGCCGCCCGGAGGCATTATGCCCTCCAGCACGCTGGTACGGTAACCAGAGACTTCCGTCAAAGACAACTGGCTCTGCTCCAGAATCGTCATGCTTTGGAAAGCAGGTAGTGTACTATATGGTTTTGTACTGTTCACCTCGTACTTGACGTACAATTTTGCCAAAATTTACAGCGCGGGCCTCCTTGTCTGAGTTATTGGTAATTACGCAGGATGAACATGGCGAAGACAAACTTATTTTATCTGTTTCATTTCTCTGAGCGCTTTCATGGACAAATATTAGCAAACACAGTTTTGGAACCATGGAGCAAGAAAAATGGCAGCATTCTTTTCGAAACTGGGGATGGCGATGTTTGCCCACACTTTACTGCTTCATCACTCATTTCAGACATTTTTGACAAGTGCGCCTATTAGTCATTGGGAACTGCTTTTGTTGCCGCTAGCCGCAGGCCATGCATTGCAGAGGCATAGAGCGAATGCCTGAAACGACCAAAACTCACGGTTTAATGGGTGAGTGGACCGGAAAGCAGCCGCTATTAAAATCACCTATCGAGACAATATCGCATTCTCGTATTGACAGCTGACAGCAACTATGCATCAGTCTCTAATAATGACAGCGATAAGCTTGTTTGCATTGTTGTGCCAAGATAAATACAACACTCTACTTCTTTCTCACAAAAATAAGTGTTTTGCTTGATTGGCACCATAAATGGCACCATTAATACGTTTATTCGTTGTAATTGCGACCGCAGGAAGACACATCTAAACTCAGCATTCACGCTAGTACTCCATGTAATTAGCATTACTTTGATAGA